TAATTTTTGTTTCAATTTTTTTTATTTTAGCCAGAAAGATATTCAATTTCTCTGAGTTTTTGCATTTATGAGTATGAAAGTGTTCATAATATTATCTTATTTGTAAATCTGTTATGTCTGAATTTACTTCCTCAGTTTTGAGATGGTTTTGTGAAAACTGACTCATTATAAGGAGAAAAACAACATTGTATTCCTAATACATATCATATAAAAAGGTGATCTCCTGATGGAATAAAAACCTAATTAGAAAAGCTAACATTTATAACACTAATAGAAAAAGACAAGCAAATAGAAGTGAAATGAAATTCATTATAAACTCTGATGCATAATTTATAAAGAAAATATACTGATGGGCTTGACAGAATTAAAGTTAAGGCCTTCTGTTTAATGAAAGGCATCATAGACAAAATTATCAAATATTTGACAAACTAAATATTGAGAAAATATTTTTTAATAATTTGAAATCAGCAAGGGGTTAATATATAGAATATACAAGATACTTACACAAGCATAAGAAAAAGATGAGATTCCCAACATAAAAATGAATAAAACTAGGCAATTTATTGAAAGTCAAATCTGAATTAGCAAGTATATGAAGAGATGAGCAACTTTTGACTCTCAATAAATTGGCAAAAATTAGAGGTAAGCCAACTATTAATAAGACATTGGAAGATGGGTAGTCTGTGTATTGCTGATGAGAGTGTACACTGGTACAGCAATTTAAGAGAGCAGTCTGGGTGAACTCAGCAGAAATCAATATGATCCAGTAACCTATTCCAGGGATGCATCCCAGAGAAACTTGAGCCTAGGTTCATAAGGGGACAGGCACAAAGATGTTCATTGTACCAGCAGGTTAGTGGCAACTGGGTGTGCACATCACTCCAGGAATTGGTAAGCAAAATGTGGTGGATGCATACTAAAATATTAACACTATCATTCATAAGCAATAAAGTTGTGTTACATACAGCAGCATGGGTGATTGAATGAATATTAAAATGTTAAAATAAGATTAAAATGAAATTTAAAAATTAAAATTAATTAAAAATTACAAACAGAATGAAGGGCATAGTATAATGCCATTTACATAAATTAAAAATGGATGCATACATAAAACACATCATGTACATCTCAAAGAATCACACATATCCAAAAACATCTGTAACAGAATGGTGCCTATCATGAGGAGGCTGGTAAATAGAGTTAAAATGGAAGATGAAGGGCAAAATAATAAAAAGGAAAAGAAAAAGGATACTTTTGCATGCACAGCTGAGGTATGTGCTGTGCACTGAGGAGTATCATTAACACAACACACTGCACTGAAGATTAAAAATATATAAATTATACAGCCATAATGCCTGTACTCTGTAACATAAACAGGAAAGAATGTTACACGTGAACCAAAGTATACACGCATACTCTCCTGCTTCTTTACTGACTGTCCCAGAACATGCCAGGATGGCATCATTTTCTTTGGGAAGCGTATGCCATCACCTCCTGGTCCACAGTGATCTCTACCTATCTGATAACATTCTTTCAAGATACAGTTTAAGTTTTACTTCTTTATAAAACCTTTTAAAGTTTTCCATTCATGTAAATGTCTTCCTAAAACCAATTGCATTTGAAAACTGTACCATAACATCTAAGACTTAAGAATTTATAGTCCTCTATTGCTCTGTATTATGTCTTACCCATGGCTTCCTTTACTAGATGTTAACTTCCTAGAAATCATACAAACTTCTTTGATGTTCTCTGTTCTGCCTAGAACAGTGTAACATACATAGGATCTTAACAAACATTTCAATTAATAGATTTTCAATTAGGATTTGGAATTGTGGTACAAAGGGATGGATAGGCAGGATCATAACTGAAGGTTGAAAAAAATTACCTTTTTCCAGTTGGAATTAAGTTTTAAAAGTGGAGAACAGAAATAGAATAATTGCTATCACACTGTGAATGGAGTAGCTCTCTAATCAATGAGAGAGATGAACTTTGTTTTAGTTTCTTTTCCTTTAAAGATCCCCTTTCCTTTTCTTGGTGTTTCTTGTGTAGGACATCTTTCCCTCAACAAATCTTCATATTTGACAGCAACCTATTTTTGCTTTCTGATTATCCCAGGCCATGATGAACTATCACAACTGTTCCCTTGAATTCTTAAAGAATTTTAACTGAAGTCTAAAAAATGAAACTAGTAATAGCCAACTCAGCCTTCCTCAATCTAGAACACTTTTAAGGGAAATAAATGTTTCTTTTTGATGAAAATTATCATTTTTTATGATTACCAAATGTATAAATTTATTTTTATATGTTAAATTGTGGCAGGTCATCCCTCTGGTAGACATGGAGGGGAAAAATGCCCAACATAGTAGAGTTGATAAACTAAGTTGTATTCTATCTGAGATTCAGAATCTCACTTAGCTGTGCTTGGCAAATGGTCTGAGTGAAAACCAAAGGTTTTCGCTGAAAAGGAACTTGAATTTTGTGCAAGATCCAACAAGAACTTGGAGCTTTGAAAGAAGACATATGTAGCTTGCTCAGCTTTTAGGAAGGGAATGATAGCTGAAGGGAACATAATGCAAAGTGGAAAGAATCATAAATATGATGTAATATGCCATGGGTTCCACATCTATTTTAGTTACTTACTGGTTTTGTAATCTCAACCAGGTCAAAAATATCTTTCAATTCTTTTCCTTTTTGTGTGATAAGGGGATGGGAAGATCTCTAATTCTTTTTGATTTATGAATATTTTTATCAGCTAAGAAGATTACTTTGCAGAAAAAAATAATTATGTACAGATAGGTATTTAAGAACATGAGAGAAGAAGTCGAACTTCATACATTTTAGTAACTGACTAGTGATGAAATAGACTTGAAGCAGAGAAATACAAAAAAAAAAAATTGTATTTGTATTCAACAAATATTTCTTAAAGGAATGCACCAGAAAAATGGAATAGTCCAGAGAGTAAGTAAAACCAGAAGAGAGCACCAAGACCAAGGAAATTCTTAGGCCAAGCATGTAGGAAGCAGAGGAAGGAACTTACAAAGGCAGATAGGAGATATCTTCTCTACCCAAGGATTAGTACCAGGGAAAACTACAGAGTCAGGTTAGCTGTAGCATAAAAGCGAAGACCAAGTATGTTCTAGAGGATTAAGATTCACAGTAGAAATGCCTATCCAATTATACATTAAACAACATGTCTGAACACTTAGGTGAGGCAAAGAAGGAGAGTGAGGAGCTCAATGAAATCATCATAGCCTTTTAGAATTAGACAGAAAAGAGTTTATATCTAAGCTTTACCATTCACTAACAGTATAAATATTAACAAGAAATTAATAATTTTTCTCCGAGACATCTGAAAATGAAAATCTTAATTCTGAAAAATAAAAATTACAGTATCTGCTTTCTAGAATTGTCTTGAAGATTAAACAAGTGAATATATGAAAAGGACCTAAAACATACCTAACATGATTTATTCTTTATTGCTATTGTTATCATTATTATTGTAGATGTTATTGTAGATTTTCTGTCCAATAAGATGTGTATAAACAAACTCAGTATTTGTCCTGACTTCAGTTCAAGAACTTGTAATTTGTAAAGTAAATGACTGCCTTATTTTTGTATATTCTTCTATATGTGTTTTTTTTTTCTCTTTAATGTTCTTTTAAAATCCTCCTCCCTACCACCAAATTCTAACTTTGTTTTAGCAGAAAGAAGGAAAAAAAGACCTTTTCATACTCAGTCCAGGATAGCTAAGTTGGCTGCCCAGGGTTTCAGATGAGCAGAAGTGTTAGCACAGAACCAGGAGCGGGGCAGAAGGAGGACATTCAGGCATGGTTGAAAGTGTTCTTTACGTTACTCCATACAAGACATGCACTCTACCGCATTCAAATGCACTTGGAGCACCTTCCCAGTTAAAGACTATGTCCTCCTCAAGTGTTCACTTTTTTAAACAATACCTTCATTTGAGTGGAGAGTAAGGATGAATATTGCTTTCTAAAAGTCACTGGTTTGGAAGATGAATCATTTTAACAGTAAAGTTAGATATGATGACCAAACTTTTCAATTAAAAAGATCAACGAGAAAATTAAGATTTGTTATGGGCAATACATTAATACTTATAAATTTTCAGTAGGCATACTCGAGTCAACAAACCACGCGGCTTGTTTATCACTGCTAAATCAAATTTTCAAAAAGAAATTTAGGTCTGGTGAAATGTGTTAGACTGTTAAGAAAAACTGTTAAAATAATTTGATTTAGTTTTGAAATTACCTTCACCCCCTAGGAGGTTTCGACTCCGTCAGGAACGGGCCTCATTCTGTTATGCGTAGGTTAGTTCTCCAGCTTAACACTCCCTGATCAAACATAGTTTTGAGGATACCTCATTCGTTATCAGGCCAGCAGACTATTTCAGTTTAAGGATGGTGAAGTATAGCTCTGGCCAGTGCAGGCCTACAGTAGCAAAAGGTGGAGGAAGGGCTAGGTTTCACTTCTAATTTTTGACACAAGCTTTCCCAGCAATCTCAGTTCCACAATCCCAGATAGAAAGTATGATTTCTCTAAGAAAAAGATGTCTTAACTGTGAAGCTGTGTGTGAAGTGGAAACTCAGGTAAAGCCGTGTGGCCAAACAGCAGAAAATGGAGTGGGTGCTGCACACAAGTGTGCACGACGTTTGTTTGGTTTGCTTGTTTGTTTAAGGAATCCGTTGAGAGGGATTGGTGAGGAGACAGACTTGCACTGACTGATCCAGGGACTGGTGATGGGGAACCCGTAAGGCGCTGAGATACTGAGATAGGAGAATGAGGTGTGAGGGAAAACAAGGCTGGAGACGAACAAAGGCGCTGTTCGGTAGCAGACTGCAATTTGAAGCGGCTCAGGGATCCCGGGAGGACAAGCCCCAGAGCCGAGAGCCGGCAGGGACCGGCAGAGACCCCGGGAGGCAAGCCTCCGCCGCGGCCCCGCCCCCGGAGCCCCGCCCCAGCCCGGGCTCGGCCAATGGGAGCCCGGGATGTTAGCGGGTGGGAGGCGCGGCCGGGTAGCTACAGCCAGAGCTGGGCGGTGGCGGGCGCAGCCTGAGGAGTCTCGCTGAGCCCGAGGCGGTGGCGCAATGGACGGACTGGAAGGTGAGCGTTTGAAGGGATGCGGGTCGGGCGTCTAGAGCGGGCCCGGAGCAGCTGGGGAGTCCTGGACATCAGTACCAGGGAGGCAAGGGCAGGTCCGGAGCGGCGGACTCCGCCGCGCCTCCGGAGGCCCGGGCTGGCGGGAGCGGGGAGTCCCCGACGCGGTGGAGCGAATGACTCCCAGGCTGCCCCGCCTTAGACGGTCTTCAGCCGGGCTTGCCCACCCGAGCCTGAGCCTGCCTCTGGCACACGTCGGCAAGTCCCTTCCTACCATTTTCTGATCTTGCCTGACTACTGAGCCTCCTTTTGGTAATCTCAGTCTCTGGCCAGATTTTAATTCCCCTTGCAAACTGGACTCTCCATTAATGTCCACCGCCTCTCCAGCACCAGGCCAGCCTTTTCTGGGGCCCGGGGTGTGTCTCCAACCTCAAGCTCCTGACACATTCCTTGGCCAATTTCCCTGGATAACCGTTTTTTACATTTCGACGGCATCTTTTATCAGAGGAATGCTAGAGCATCTCCTAAGGAAGTGTCACCGGCTAGCTTTAGAGCCCGTACAATAGATCGCCAGAAGGATTTAATGGCTTATTCACGACCGTTGTGTAAGGCAGAGCCAGCATTGGTTCCTTATCTTTGGGTTTATCCTTGTGCTGTAACCATGACTCCAGATTTTGCTTTGTTCCCAGTTCTTTCACTTTTTCTCTATTCTGTTTACTCGTTTTATCCTGTGTAATGACCGCATTCGCCTAAAAACAAAGGAAGAAAAAAGCCAACTAGCGTTGTCAACAACAGTTTCCAGGTTTTTTGATGAAGAACAAACCTTCAGAACTGATTAGCTCTTTTTTCCCCCTTCCTAATTTACGTGGATTCAGGTGGAATTAAGAATGAGCAGAGGCATTTAGCCCTGTCTAATGTTGCATACTAGAGAGTGAAATATTGTAGGTTGTGTTATGAAGTGAAAAGTGGCTTTTACATCATTTGCATATAGATCATATACAACTTGTATTATTTTTGGTCTTCTGGATCTTTTTTGCTTCCTGAATTCTCAAGGAATGTGCTGTTAGGCCGAACACTATATTTTGAAATCAAATATAAGTTATTGCTCATGATTTTGTATTATCTATATCTGTGCACTTTTGAATTATGTGGGTAATTACAGTAAAGCCTTTAATTTCTTTTCATCTAAGGCTCATGCCCTACAGATCTATGTACAGGCAATAGAAGTATTTCTAGACTTGAGAAAGTTCCAATATCTTATCTTTTTCATCTGTGAAATGAAGAGGGAATAAAGTCTAAGCAGATTTTATCCTTATCTATAGTATTGTCATTCCCTTCATAACACCCTGATAAATAGTTATAACAATTGTGGCAGGCCAGGCACGGTGGCTCACGTTTGTAATCCTAGCACTCTGGGAGGCCTAGGCGGGCGGATCGCTCCAGGTCAAGAGTTCGAACCAGCCTGAGCAAGAGCGAGACCCCGTCTGTACTAAAAATAGAAAGAAAATTAATTGGACAACTAGAATATATAGAAAAAATTAGCCGGGCATGGTGGTGCATGCCTGTAGTCCCAGCTACTCGGAGGCTGAGGCAGAAGGATTGCTTGAGCCTAGGAGCTTGAGGTTGCTGTGAACTAGGCTGACACCACGGCACTCTGGCCTGGGCAACAGAGTGAGACTCTGTCTCAAAAACAAAAACAAAAACAAAAAACCAAACCAAAAAAACAATTGTGGCAGAGATAGCTCTCCATTCCTTTTAGACTGCTGAAATTATCAGACCTTAGTACTTCTCTCTAAAGTTTGTCTAGAAGTCTGATTGCTCTTCTGCTTTATTCTTCATCTAGTTGAAGACAGCCATCATGTCCCATCAAGGTTTCTGTTTTATTTTTCCCTAATGTCAACATGTACTAGTTTATGAATAATACTTCATCTTTTTTAACTTATCTAGCATTTATTGCTTTTCGGTACTAAGTTGGATGCCAGATATTTTAATAGCCAGTATATTGGAGAGGCCTGTATTCAAATCCTTCTTTAGTTTCCTTTTAGCTCTATGATTTAGGCAGTTTATTTAATCTGAACCTCAGTTTTCTCAGCTATAAAAAAATGGAGCTGTTAAATACTAAACTAACTGAACTGTATTAAGTATTAAATAATGTTACATATATAAAGCATCTAGCGAAGTGCCTAGTATATAGGAAACCCCCTCAGTACGTGCTTATTGGATTGATAAGGGAGCTTAAGAGTTGACCAATATAGGTAAAATATCGCATGCTTGGGAGGAGAGAAAGGACTTTACAGGTGGAAGAGCTTTATCAGCAGTGCCTTATACTGTTGAAAGGTCGAGCACGATGAGGATTTAAGAGGGGGCTTCTAATTGGACTAATGATAGATTAATGGTGATAAGTTACTTCCTTTTCTTGAGATCTTTACTCAATATCTCCTTACTAATGAAGCTTTCCCTGATTCCAGCCAGCCACTTCTCAAAGACTGTCCTCTCCCCTTCCTCTCTTTCTTGATTGTTCTTGGGATTCCTCTCCTTTCTTGATTGTGCTTATCACCACCAGACATTTTATACATTTGTTTTTATTCAGTTTTTCCCTATTAGAACAGTAAAAGCTCCGTAAGATCAGAGTCTTTGGTTTTTTTGATCCCTATATCTCTACCAAGAACAGTTTCTGTCTCACGCTAGGTACTCAACAAATACTTAACAACCAACGAATGGACCTGTTTTAATACAGTGATTGGCCTGATAAAGTTTGTGTGCAATTCAGATAGCAAGTGAATGAAAGATAGGAAGGGCCTAAGCAGAAAATGTAAGTCAGTGTTTTAAAAAATGTGCTATTTTAGGACATTGGTCCTAAATATCTCTTGAGGGTAGAAAGGATTTCTGATGAAATAAGTTTGGGGAAATAAAGGTAAACTAAACTGTCTTTTAAGACTGAGGAAGTTCTGCTTTACGAAGACCCATTTAACTTAGTTTTATATTGCATTTTCCACACATTTGACCATGGAGCAAGGGATTTGAGAGTGATTAGTAGTAGAAATGACAGGTCATGTTCAGTCTGGGTAGGAAGAGAAGTGCAGCCAGGAATGGAAATGCAAGTCATTCTGAGATAAAGATAGTGACTTAAAGGTAGAAGGTAGAAGTCTGTGGTTAGAAAAGGAACTTGAGTATTTTAAAAGTCCAGAGGTGGACTCTAAGATGTTTTGGCAGTAGTTTTGCTAAAGTAGAGTTCAGGTAACTAAAGTGCAGTGGTGGGTGAACGTTGTGTGTTGAGTAGGTTAATGTGAATGTTGAAAGGTTGAAGTCTCTCGGGATGAGCTAAAAAAGAAAAATCTTTTGAGATAGTGGATATTGTTGCACTGAAAGTAGATAGATTTTGGAAAGAATCTTGGGAAGAAAGTGGTATAACAGATGTGCTTCAAAAGAGAGGTTTCTTGAGCATTAAAGCTTAGATTCAGATTAGCTGTGATAGAATATAAGATTGACAGCAGTGAGGAGATAGACATTCTACAGTGGAGGCCAAAAGTGTTAATTTCCAAGATTTCTTTTGAAAATATTCTCTCCTATTTCTTAAATATATACCTTTTAGAATGTCACAACTATTTTATATATTGTTTCACCTCACTTATATAGTTGTATTATATAAGGACATCATTTCAAGTCTTACTATTGTGCAGGCTTTGAAGTTGTGAAATACAGCAACTCAGTGTGGAATCGTGTGCTGGTTAAATTTTGTAAGGAGAGATTGGCTTATTGAGAATTCTAGAATATTAAAGTACTTTATTGATTTGGTTCTGTCCATCAGTTTGAATGCTTCTTTCAACAGTGTTTGCTTTCTGCTACAATCTTGACTCATCTGAATATCATATCTCTACTGCAATTTTATAAGCTGCAAGATTTGCTAGTTTTTGCCACTTGGGTGAGGTTAGTGGAGTTTGCCTGCATGCCTGGGAAAGTAGTGTTTTTTATTTCTATAGGTTGTGAATCCTCTCAAATTTTAAGGTAGATTGAGCAGATATTATCTTCACTTAACAGATATTAGCCTGAGTGTGCCAATATGATTGGTCATACATTTACTTCTAATTCATGTAGTGAAGACTTTTCCAACAAGAAAAGAGATGTCATGTCCTTTGCTGTAGGTCCTCTATGTAGACAACTGGAAATAATTTCCTCAACATAATCCATACTAAGTGAAACATTCAATCTATCACCTGCAATTAATTTAATCATTCTTATATATGAACATAAAAAAAAAAATTTTAACACCAGAAAGAAAAGTATCTTGTCATCCGTGTATTTTTCTTGCTAATATGGTCTTAAGGTAGATTTTGGTGAATTATAATACATTATAGATAAAAGGGAACCACTTGTGTCATTTAATCTAACTTCCTTATTTTATAGGAGCAGAATCTGAACTTTAGGTTAAATATTTCGCCCAGGGACTCATGGTTCTCAGTGATAGGGCTAGGACTTGAGCTTAGATAGTATAAGACAAATTCCAGTGCTGCTTCTACTACACTGTCATGTCTTTTAATGAATACCATTAGAATAAAGTGTAGCTTTTGACTCTAAGGCCTAAACTATTTATCATGACCTGGGTAGAAGTTCCCATTAATAAGGTTTTTCAGAATCATTTTATTAATAACATTTGATTTATCCAGGCACATGATGATTATATTGCTTTTAATCAAGTAAAAGTTATAGCTACCTCATCATTATTTAGTTAATTGTGCATGGGAGGTCAGAATACCTCAATTTACTGATCCAGTGACTCTTAATATAAATATCATATGTATAAAATAATTAACAATTCACATAATACATACAGTCTATATAACTAAGTGATCTTATCCATAAACCATTATACCTTCTATTATCTGGTGATAAACAAAACAAGATTTTTTTTTATTTCATATGCCTCAGATCATCTCAGGAAGTCGTTTAACCCATCACCAATGATAGTTCTTCATGCCTGGGAGATTAGTAAGGTAAATTTGGTTTTT